AAAGCAAGTGATGCACAATGCAATTGCTCACCACCCGCTGACCGATGCCCAGCCAGTCCCCAAGCAGCGATCACTGTCCCCCAGCCAACTCCCCCCAGTTTCTATACTGAGCATGACACCATATGGTATGGAATAGCCCTTTGGCCAGCTTGGGCCAGCTGTCCTGCCTGTGCCCCCTCCCAGCTTCTTGTGCACCTGGCAGAGCATGGGAAGCTGAAAAGTCCTTGACTAGTGTAAGCACTACTTAGCAACAACTAAACCATCAGTGTGTTATCAACATTATTGTCATACTAAATCCAAAACACAGCACTATGCCAACTACTGGGAAGAAAATTAATTCTATCCCAGCCAAAATCAGGACAGAACAGTCTGTGGTGTTGCCTCAATACAGATTAATTAGTTTGTCAGGTACAGTTCATGAAACAGGAGAATGATCTGTCTTGCTCAGTATGTGAAGCACCAGGATTATTCCTACGGACTGCTGTCTGTGACACTTCCTCTTTCTTAGCTGGAGAAAACCAAACCCGCTTTTAAGAAATATTGGGTTTGGTTATGGATGGAATGTATGAGAATAACTCAATACAGTTGTCATGCAAGAATTTTGATCTGTGAATGTATAATACTATAAGGAATATCAATGAAATATCTTTAAAACACCATTATTGTATATTTGGTCAGCTTACTAAAAAGTTAGTTAACCAGCCACTGTACATCCATGAAAATCTTGGTCCTTGCATAGAGGAATTGCTCATTTCCATTCTTCAAGAATAAAAATATTTTACCAAAATGTTTTATATGAAGTTACAGTGTGGCCATGGTAAATGTTCTTAACAAATTTAAATATGAACAAAGAAATGCTATAGCATTTAATTAAAAATGGTAAAAGGAACTTAATATTCTATTTTAGATTTTGACAGAACAAGTATGCACTCAAGTTGTTCATAAACCGCATCCAGAGCCAGATTCTACAGTGAAAATTCAGAATCCAAGTAAGCACAATATAATATGTTTGTATGGTAAATGTATTGCCTAGGGGTTGTGGGGTTTTTTGAAAGAATATAGTTCAGGGAGTGAGAACAATTCATTAGTGTATCTCAAATACATATGGGTTTCAGTTACTACGTACATTAGTTGCAGTCAGCAACTTTTTTTTTTAAATATTGTTAAAATGTGTTACGTAACTAATTTATTCTTTCAAAGTGATTCTTAAGGTGGTGGCAACACTGTTAAAAAACTCCACGCCAAGTGCAGAGCTGATGGAAGTTCGACGTTTGTTCTTATCTGATATGATAAAACTCTTTAGTAATAGCCGTGAAAACAGAAGGTATGTCACTACAAATAGTATTTTCTCATCCTTGATTTGTGGGTAATAGCAATCTGTTGTACTCTGTGTAGAGTTTTATGCTGTATATTAAATGGTATATATAAAAAATAAATGGAGTAGGTCTGTGGTAACTTTTCTGAGTTCAGCAACTAATAGTGGGTTCTTCTCTTTAGAATATACTTTACATTTTTATTCATCCTGAAGTATTTTTAAGTTTCTTCCTGCTATTGGATTGATGTTCAGAGGAGATGTACCATATTATTTTCCTCCTATTTTAACCATCATAATGTTAAAATAGAGAAGCTTTGTTTGGATGGATTTTGACCTAATTATTTCACTTTAGATGTTTACTTCAGTGTTCAGTGTGGCAGGACTGGATGTTTTCTCTGGGATACATTAACCCTAAGAACTCTGAAGAGCAGAAGATCACAGAGATGGTTTACAACATTTTCCGTATTCTTTTGTATCATGCAATAAAATATGAATGGGGAGGCTGGAGAGTGTGGGTGGATACTCTTTCTATAGCTCATTCCAAGGTAAGAAATGTCTCGTGGATGTTTTTTTAATACTGGTAACTCCCCCAAAGGTACTAGCAATCTAGTAAGATAAGCTGTAAAGTGATTTAGTGCCATCTGGTGGCTATCTCCATACATGTCAAGGTGGCATTTTTTTGTCATTGTAGGTCCTTTGCTGTGAAAGTTTGCAAGCTGTATGTAGTATGTTAAGATTATTGTTAGTTTTGGTCCGGGTTCATGTAGCATATATTCATCCACGTAATCTGTTCTTTTCTTTTTAAGGTTACATATGAGGCTCACAAGGAGTATCTAGCAAAAATGTATGAAGAGTATCAAAGGCAAGAGGAAGAAAACATCAAAAAGGGGAAGAAGGGGAACGTGAGCACTATCTCAGGTCTTTCCTCTCAGACAACAGGAGCAAAAGGTGGAATGGAAATTCGAGAGATAGAAGACCTTTCACAAAGCCAAAGTCCAGAAAGTGAAACAGATTACCCTGTCAGTACAGATACGAGGGACTTGCTCATGGCTACGAAGGTGTCAGATGATGTACTTGGAAGTGCTGAGAGACCAGGAGGAGGAGTGCATGTGGAAGTTCATGACCTTTTAGTTGATATAAAAGCTGAAAAGGTAGAAGCTACTGAAGTAAAACTTGATGATATGGATTTATCACCAGAGACACTGGTAACTGGAGAAAACGGTGCACTTGTAGAAGTCGAATCTCTTCTAGATAATGTATATAGTGCTGCTGTTGAGAAGCTGCAAAACAATGTTCATGGAAGTGTGGGTATTATTAAGAAGAATGAGGAAAAAGATAATGGTCCATTAATAACTCTGGCTGATGAGAAAGATGAACCTTCTACTAACAGTACTTCATTTCTCTTTGATAAAATACCTAGTCAAGAGGAGAAACTTCTACCTGAACTTTCAAGTAATCACATTTCTATTCCAAATGTGCAAGAGACACAGATGCATCTTGGTGTAAATGATGATTTGGGATTGCTTGCACATATGACGGGTAGTGTAGATATAACATGTGCTTCAAGTATAATAGAGGACAAGGAGTTCAAGATTCACACAACTTCAGATGGAATGAGTAGCATTTCTGAGAGAGAGTTGGCTTCATCATCTAAAGGATTAGAATATGCTGAAATGACTGCCACAACTCTTGAGACAGAGTCTTCTGGTAGCAAAACTGTACCTAGTGTTGATGCAGGAAGTATAATATCAGATACAGAAAGATCTGATGATGGTAAGGAAGCAGGAAAGGAGATACGGAAGATCCAGACAACTACCACAACCCAGGTAAGTTTCAAGTGCTGTAGCCGTGTATGTGTCTGATGTAATTGCTGTTTGTTGCTGCTGGATAAATTAGTTGTATGAGATCTGAGAGATGTTTGAAGTATATTTCTGTAATTATAAGAAAGGTTTCCATCCTCCAAGCCTATTTGCTTTGAAAATGCCATAACATGTGTAAGGTTTGTGAAGTCTTTCATTTCTGTATAGAAAATATATATTGCAATTGTGGATGCTTTAGTTGAAAAAGCTTAGCTAAGAGAATCTCTCGTCCATTTACCTTAGTTCTCATGGAGAGATTAACTGATACTTTTAGAACTCTGCTTTAGACTTTCTTGTTAGTATGTCTTAAGATTAGAAATATCTATATTTTACTATGAAATACACATTGAAGTATTCTTTACTCTTGACATACCTTTCTCAGAGTGTAGTCTTACAGCACTTTCGTACGCTGTCTTTCTTCCCATACAGGAATGCTGGCATAAATAATCTCCATATTTGATCTTAATACAAGAAAAGGAATAGTTTAGGGATAATAGAAGAAAAACTGACCAGAGATGATTAATAAAAGAAGTGGTATCTACTTTCTTCTTGGAGATCCTTTCTTGTCTAGTCTTCCTCTGAAGAATTCTGAAAAATTAGTGGTTTTGTGAGAGCCATAGCATTATGAAAATGGGAAGGCCAAGGCTGAAGTCTGCTCTTTGAAAGAATTTGTACTCTGTATGCACAGCAAAATATAGGATCACTTTAAACTTTTAAAACACAGAATTAATTTCCTCCCTGGCATTGTTCAGAGACTGTAGCACGTAATCAAAGATTGCTTTTAAGGATGTTATCAGGTGAAAGAATTGACTACCGTCAAGATTCTACTAGCTGACTATATGTCCAGTATGTACACCAGTATTCATCTTCTAGGATTTAGAAGTCAAGCAGACTTCCTGAAACTATGAAAGAAGAACCAAACAAAAATTGCAAAACTTGTTCTGCCTGGTACTGTGTAGCATGTACCAAATCATCAGAAGAGTTTCAGAGATACACTCAAGTACACTCAAAGTACATGTCATCTAATGAAAAAACACAGATATGCCTGTCTGCTTTGTTCTTCAGGGAGGCAACACTTTCAGAAAAACTCCAGTGAATGGACATTTTAATTTATTTAAATAATCTGTGGTTTCTAAAACACATACTTTCCCTTTAAAAAAAAAAAAAATTAAAAAAAATTTCCTCAGACCAGTGGGTTCTGACATACAGAAAGAACACTCTCTTCTAAGTCTCTCTTCCATGGTGAGAACCTCTGTTTTGAAGAGAAAAGCAGATGGAGCTCTTGCATTCCCTAGACAGGTATTATACGAAAAGTTTGGGGTTCTCTTGTAAGTATTTTTTCAAAACTATGAAAATCCTCATAACATAAGTGACAGACTATCAAGCATTGTGTAGAGATCCTTACATTTAAAAGCATTCTGTGTAATAATGGACAAGCCCTGAAAGCTCTCGATAGGAATAGTGTACCTATTACTATCAGTTCCCAAATACCTTATGTTAGGTCTTAAAATTAAGACTGTTAATACCATGGAAATTGATAAATGGAACAAATGGAGGATAGCAAGAAAAAGGAGCAGTCAGTTTTTATTTTGAAATGTGGATTTTTGTTTAAAGAGTAAAAGACAAGTGAAATGCTAGTATTCATTTGTTAGGTACATATATGCACCCATAAACACAGTGAATTTGTAAGATAAATCTTTAGTGAAAAAGATAATCTGACTGTGTACTAGCTACTGTAGAAAATCCTGTCAGTGTGACTTTGGGACTTTTCTGTTCTTTAACCTTTTTTCATGATGAATTTCACCTATAACAGTTGAATTATAAACATGTAAATTCCTCAAGCCTATAATTATATTTGTTAAGATTAAAATGAGACATAAATCTTAATGACATTTTATCAGATTATTTTAAGATATGAGAAACAAAATGTTTTCCAAATGTTTTACTCTTAGCTACTCACAAAATTCCTAACATATCATTTGGATCTGCAAATTATCTACAAGCTGTGTACTCTTGAAGAGTCTGATTCTACAAGTTATTTAACTCCCTTGATTCTCCATATACTACTTAAATTAGTTCTTTCCCACTAAAATCAATTATAAACTACAATGAATTAATTTAAGTCTGTAATAGTAATATTATTACTATTATCTTTTAAATAATTTTCTAAAAAACAATTATCAACTGTGTAACCACCGGAATTGTTGTTGTCCTCTAATCTCTTCTTTGGGTGTTTCGAAATACCTTGTGAACAGTAAGCTGTCCATAGTTAAATCTTTTCTGTTTAAATGAAGTTAACCTTAAAAAAAGATAGAAATATGTATTAAATAAAACATAAAACAAGCATTATTGTTTTCGTGAGTAAAGAGCAATGTTAATTTTAACATGTTTACAGCGGAGCTGGAGGTTTTGATTGCAGCATGAGTGGGAACTGCCACATGAGATTTGATGTCTTTGAGACCACTGAAAACACAGAAAATTACTTAAAGACTAGCCACCCAAGTGTAGATAGTTGGGTTTCATGGTGGTTTATGCAATGCACATCAAAGCCCATTCTTGCAAATACAGTATTATTGGCTAGATAAAAGCTCTCCTGTTACGGTGCAGTTATGATGCCATTACTGCTGCGGCCATGACAACTACGTGTAGTTGTACCCAAAAGAGTGGTATGTGAATGGAGTTGCTAATCTCAAATTCTCTAAAAACAGAGCTGCAATCAGCTCCCCAACTTATCAATAAGAAGTAAGCTCTCCTTTGTTCAAATGGACTGAAAGGAAGCAACAAATTGCAGAACAGAGTAGAGATGGGAACTCCTGCTTACTTCTAAGAAGAGTTAATGCCTTTATCAATAGTAGATCAACTATTGAAGATATAAAATTAACTCTTTCCTATGGTTCCCACTAGGAAAGACTGAAAATAGAATTGAAAGCACTATGCAGAAGATTCATGAAAAAATTCAAATCTTAGATCTAAGTCTAAGAAAAAAAGAAAAGAATAATTTAAAGATAACTTTAAGAAAAACATAGGAAATGAAAGCAACAGTAATAATTTTGATCCTGATAGGTGAAACTGAATGAAGGAAACCTGCTCTGCTCTCAAAATGCTGGCTACAGAAGATCAAAATCAGACTAAAGATCTAAGAAGCTTTCCAGCTCAACTCCAACGCCATGTCCGTTTTTACATTGCTAGCATAAATATTTCATAAATATCTTTTTTCTTTTAAATGTCCAGATTTAAAACAGTATGCTGAGATCAGGAAATTAATATGTGAGCAAAGCAAGTATGTTTTCTATTTTGCCAGTTTTAAGCTAAAGACACTTTAAAAATTAATTTCAAGGATCGGACTTTGTGTTTCTTACTTTCAGAGATGTTGCACATTATAAGTAATTTCATTGTTACGAATATTCACCTCAGATTCAGTCAAAATGTTTGTTCTTTACTGCTTTTTCCTTCATGGTATTCTCCATCATATCCTCTACATGTATCTTTTACTTTTGTCTTTAATCACCAAGTGGAAACAGTCGTGACTATCTAGGTATTGAAAGGGAATGAAATTCACATCCACCAGCTGTTGGGAGAATCTAAGGAATGTCCTGAGGATCCATAAAACTGTTAACCAATTAACAAAGTGCAACAAAATTGGCAAAATGAGATTTGGGAGACTAGACTTGATTCTCTAATGTTCCTGCTAAAAAGACCAGATACATAAATTGGTTTTGGAAAATGAGGAGCTGTCTAAAAGTACACTGATTCCTTGAAGCCATCACTGTGTAGTTTGTCCATGTTTTGAGAGTGAAATATTCAATGAAAATTTTGTTATCAGCACAAAGGAATAGTTGTTTCCTATAAAAAAAGTCTTGTCACTGCTGACCTTGTACATGGCCAAGGAAGGCCAGCCGTAGCCCCTCAGTGCTGATTGATTTGAATTGGAGCAGCTCCTTTACTGAAGAATACCGCCTGCCTTAGAACGTCACTATCTCCCATAGTTTGTGCTTGAGTCCAGTTTTAGCCCATCCTTTCTCAAATTCTGTGATCCATTCAAAAACACATTACAAGAAGTTAACATGATTTTTTAACCTCTTGTTGATGTAGGCAGTACAGGGTCGATCTGTCACCCAGCAAGACAGGGATTTACGTGTTGACTTGGGATTTCGAGGAATGCCAATGACAGAAGAGCAGCGACGACAGTTTAGTCCAGGCCCACGCACAACTATGTTTCGTATTCCAGAGTTCAAATGGTCTCCTATGCACCAGCGGCTCCTGACAGACTTGCTTTTTGCACTAGAAACAGATGTACATGTTTGGAGAAGGTAGGTGGTTGCTGCTTCTTTAACTCCTGTTTTGTGTTTCCATCAACAAGGAAAAATTAGATGTGTTGTAGATGGGATGTTACTGGGAGAGTGGAAAGGGAAGGAGTTGGCGTTAGCTGAAGTGCCCTTCTGTGTCTTATATCTTCCCTTTTCACCCCTTCCCAGCCCGTAACAGCTCTATTTCACAGGTGACAATTTCTGTTTTCTTGAGAGATTGTATAACTCAAACATACCTAAGTAAATTGAGCTGCTCTTTTAGCTTATGTTTAGTGTTAGAATGTGCTGCTTCTGTTTGGAACATGGGGAAGACTTGTGTGTCTGCTAATGGCCATTTTTTTCAACTGATCAATTAAGAGTGCTTCTCTACCTGCAAACCTTATAAATAAAAGCTCTTTGCTGTAACATTTTCTAAGGAATCACTCTTTCTAGTTGACAATTTTTTTTTTGCATGCCAGCTCCTGGTTGTAGTTAGTCTTGGTGGTTGTGTTATATTTTATGACAGCAATGTGATTTCCTAGGTTTTTTGTACACTTTGGCAGAGATTCTCAATAATTTATTGTTGTCAGAACCATTAGGTATAACAGACACTATTTAATCTAATTTCCAGGACAGAATAGTTCATTTTCAGAAAACTTGAGCATAGTTATATCCAAGAACCAGTTTATATTGCATTTAACTTTGGTTTGGTGAACTGTTCTGTGATAGTCGCTAGGAAATAGACAATTTTGATAAATTTTTGGCCAAATATGTGGGAGAGGTTTGTACTTTGTGTTTAGATAATGCTTGGAGATTAAAGTTCAGTTTGTATATTTTTTCAGTTGAAGCCTTTAATTTTTGTTTCCTTGCTGGCAGTAATGTTGTTTTGGGAAAAGAACGTACTTATAGACTGAGTATTCTTCAGTAGTTTCACACAGTCTTTTATATTTTTGGGGAGCGACTGTTTCATTGGACAATTTCTCACCAATTAGGAGTTGCTGAGATTTCAGCTGATCTTATTAGCATCTGTGGCTTGCAAAGCTATTGCTAATGCTAAATTTAATATGAGTTAATAAAGTTAATATGAGATCAAGGTATCACCATATTACCAAGTTCCTCCTTTAAAACACTAGCAGGTGTTATCATTAGGTGCTTCAAATGGCACTGGTGCAGTATGGTGAATTCTTAATATTAAATAATAACTTTCAGGCTGAAGAAACAACCCCACTGCTTTCAGCAGAACTGCCTATGAAGTACTGGTTGATGGGAATAAAAGCTTACAAGCCATTGGTCTTAACTGGGTATTTGAAACTAATCCTGGTATGAAAATAGGTAGTAATCAATTTGTCCATTAGACTCGCCCTGTTCATAATTTTAGACAATTTACATGCAAAGTTTTGTAGACAAGATTCTGCCTTTATATCAAAGAAACATTCACAGTATGGTTGCAAAGAATAAATTTATCTAAACTTTTATGATTTTAACTGTGTTTTTAATCCATCCTTTCTTCTGTTCTTGCAGTCACTCCACAAAGTCTGTGATGGACTTTGTCAATAGCAATGAAAATATTATTTTTGTACACAACACAATACACCTCATTTCCCAGATGGTAGACAATATTATTATTGCTTGTGGAGGAATTTTACCATTGCTGTCAGCAGCCACATCCCCAACTGTAAGTACAATATTTCCACCTAGTGGTCATATTAGAAATTGTTTTCACTAATACAAACTACTATTTGCAGCTGACTTTTCTTTAGGGACTCCTGTCCCCTCTCTGCTCATTCCTTAAAAAAATTTAAATTTATATTCAAAACTGTTAAGCTTGGATATACAGAGTGTTTATAATATTTTGCATTTGAAATGCTAATTTTATTAGAGAAGTAGTACTAAGAATAATATTTCATAGGTATTTAATATTTTGCTTGAAAGAGAAGACCTTTAGGATCAGGGTTACAAATCATGATTACTGTAACAAAATTACATGCTTTATGATGGCTAGTCATTGATATTCATGAATCTTTTTTTGCATGGCCATCATTTCTTTGCATGTGAAATGATACCAGAAGTCATCCTCTCACTACTCTGTTTACTTCTTCCCTCAGTAGGTCCTGACCTTTGTGTCCTTCTTTTTTTCAATCTTGTATTGAAATAGGCTGATATATTTATCCACTCCGATATTCTTAGTAAGTTGTAATTTCTTAGGTGATCACAATTCAGGCAAGCAGAGTAGCCTAATAGAATGCTTCATGAAAAAGTGAGAAATATTTTGTAAATACTGCGTTATTGTACTTGAATGTGATGCCTTCCCTGTACATATAATATCTGCAACTATTTCTTTCATACTAGATGTTTTATCTTGAACATCACGTAAGCATCTGCTTAGTGGTGCATCTGCACCATTTAGTGTGGGTCTTTGAAAGGGGTAAGAATGAGGCCGACAAGGAACAGAGGCTCCTCCGAAGTCATGTGGCTAGTAGGCACTGCAGGCTACAAATGTAGTTTGGCAGTAAAAGCTCAATTCCTTGTTCTAGCCGTTCAGCAACTGAGATTACTTTACTTTGCCTCTACTGTTACTTCTAGTTAGCTAGTGAAAAAAACTTGTTTTGCATGATTTTATTTGAAAGGTATGGATGTATGGACTAGCAATTTGCTAAACATAAATATGACTTTCAGCCAGGCAATTAATGGTTAAAAGCTGTGTTAACTGGGAAAATATTTGCTATAAGCAAAAGTGCAAGACTCACAGGAAAGACTTCAGTTCTTTGTCGTCACAAGAATGACATCAAGGTTGCTGAATAAAAGATTTTGCAGGTGCTTCATTGTAAATATTGCCAAGGATGAGAGAGTACACACCAAGCCATCTTGAGATGCAGGCTGTAATATCAGTCTTTAGATAAAAGGACATTGGGAGATATTTTTTAAAGCAAACCTTTTAGACATCTTTTCAAAATGAAGATGTTTCCTTTGCTATCTTTTATATAAAAATATAAGACTGGCCCAGCATTAATTAGGCTGCAATTCCATTGAATGGCCTTGGTGTTTTTTAGCTCTTATCCTGGTTTATGACACTGCAGAGCCATTCTATAGAATAATAATTTTGCAGTTCAGCATTTCCCTCTATTCTGGATAATAAATATATGTGTGTGTGTGTGTAGATAGATAGCTACTTTATAAATTGCACATTTGTTAAAATATTGTGTGTTGATACTGTCTTGCTACAATAGCAGTGATTTTCATGCATTGATACAAAAGACTACATTTTCAAATTTGTGTATTATGCATGCATTTCTCCAGTACATAGGGACTGTGTGTATTACTTAAATGCTCAATTTTGCCATCTGTTTAGGATAATAAAATAAAAATAAGTTGTGAAATAAACTAATTTGCTAAAAGATCAGTAGCTGGCTTCAAACTGAATTAATCCTACTCTGTGAAATTAAAAAAAAAGTGATTACTTTTGTCCCAGATGTTCAGGGAGGGTGGGGAGAAGTAATTGATAAAATCACAAATTAACTTCCCATGGAAATAATTGTTACCATCTAGATGATGTTTTCACAATCATTTCCACCTAGCAGAGAGCTTCTTCCCTCCCATTCAACTCCATTCCTGTTCCATCATTGCCTGTCCATAAACATTAGCAGGAAGGTGGATTTATTCATCGTGACAGGTGCAAAGAGCCCAGCACATCCTTCCTCCTTCTTAGAGAAGGTGCTCTCCCTTAATATTGTTCTGGATCACAGTAATGAAGGGACCAGATGCCCTTTTGAGCATCAGATCACTTCTGAATATCCATCATATGATCAATGAAAAGAAGTTTCGTACCGCTTCTCAGGCTTCTAATACTCTTGCATCCTTGAACTGCTATGGAGAGAGTGGATGGACTGCTGGTTAGGAATATATTTCTTAGCCTTGAAAGGACAAAGTAGTCCTGTGCTTACAATCAGTCACAAAAGACTCTGTCTCGCTCTTCTGCTTCCAAGAGCTGCTAATTGGAAGAGAAAAGAGATCTGAAACTGGAAGATTTATCTAATGTCTCCACTGCATAAAAACACTTACGGCAGGCCTTCTAGTGACACTTTCTGCCAGAGTAACTCTCAAGGGAGGAAAGAGCCAATACTCTTTTTCTCTCACCAATTCAAAGAATCACAGAATTGCAGAATGGTTGGGGCTGGAAAGGACCTCTGGAGGTCATCTGGTCCAACCCCCCTGCTCAATCAGGGACACCTAGAGCCAGTTGCCCAGGACTGTGTTCAGGTGGCTTCTGAATATCCCTGAGGATGGAGGCTCTACCACCTCCCTGGGCAACCTGTGCCAGTGCTCAGTCACCCTCACAGCGAAAAAGTGTTTCTTGATTTTCAGATGGAAACTGCTGTGTTTTAGTTAATTACATTAATGAATATCTTTTTCCACAAGATATATAGTCCAAATTTTGTGTTGCATCTCATGAATCCCTTCCAACTTCAACCATTCCGTGATTCCGTGTCATTTTGTAATTCTGTAATTTAAACTGGACATGGTATTAGAAGTCCAGTCAAGCAGTACTGCACTACTCTTACAAAAGCAAGCTGTCCACATGGGACGTAAGCTGCCTTACTGGGTCAGCCCAAGGGCCTGGTTGGTTTAGCGTTCTGCCTCCAACGGTGACTGCAGCTTACATCAAAATACAGAAGCCTGAGCAAACATATTGATTGCTCTAATGATACTTCATTTCAGCATTTAGGATTTTAACAGCTAGAGAGGGTGTCCGGGCTGTCATGCTTAATAAGTACTGAGGAATTTATCCTTCTAGACTTTATCTAATCTTTTTTGAAGCTACTTACGCTTTTAGCTTCCATAATATCCTATGGCATTGAGTCTGACAAAGTAATTATATAACCTTTGAAGCACTTCTTGTCTTTGTTTTTTTAAACCTGCTTGAATGTATAAAGTCACTATGTGCCTTACTGTTTATGCTATGAAGGGAGTGGTTAATTGTGTCTTTATTCATCTCCGTATCATTTATGACTTTGTAGTCTTGAGCCATGTCTCCTAGTGTGCCTGTTTGAACCCACAGAGTCTTCATCTTTTTTAGTCTGTCTGTCTTTGAAAGCCTCTGATCCTCCATATCTCTATTCTATAGAACTCTTCCGGGGTGTCAAAACCCTCACATTTTGTAGATCCTGTAGAATACATATATTCAGTTTATCAACAAGTGTGAGCTCATTTTACTTCATTTCTTCCTTTTTCAGTTTCATGAATGGTGACTCTCAAATATTTCCACTTAAAGCCTTTTGGGCCTGTATTGAAATTTTAAAGTAGTAATTCTTATTTAGTTCCTCCTAGTGTGTTGTGTTTGTGGCATAGGACATGTAATTTACATCTACTTCTAAAAATTAATTTACTTTTTGGTCTGGAATAATGAAATATGAGAGCAAATAGGCTATAGAACAGACAGTAAAGGTCACTCCACCCTTTTACTTTGGGATGATAAAGTAGGATAGAATTCAGAAGGAGAATAGGGTAAATTTAGGTGTCCACTTGAAGTACTTGCATGTGGACTAGTTTTCTAGCCAATGGAGATCTACTCAATAGAAACAAATGATTCAGCTGTCTCTGACGTAGACATCTAGTGGCTGGTCAGCCAGACCACTGTAGGGTCCATAGACTGCAATGTTTATTAACCTGGAGCTGAATCCAGCCTCTTTTTACAAGGTAGCTTATGTGTTTTCTAATGGAAAAGATGACAGACAGAAACATATGGTTCCTTTATTGATCTCACAGTCCTGCCTATCCACAGTTCCTTGACTTCAGTGTGTCAGTCTGAGTTCAAGCAAGGCTTCATCCTGGGCTGCTGGTTCTTGAACAGTCCTAAATGTCTCTTACAAAACTCTCTTAACAATCTGCTATAGAGTTAGTTGTTATTACATCATGTCCCATTGCCTCTCATTTTTTTAAAGGCATGTCACCAATTTCTCATTCACAGAATAGGTACTGGGCATTGGATGCTTGAATTTATGAGAAGAGAACCAAGAGATAAATTCAGCAAAATTACTTTCAGAATATGGGAAGAATTGCAGCTTTTTTTTTTTTCTTTTGTGCAACAGATTCTGTATTGTGTTCCCTCCCTTGCTGAAAAAGCAGTACTGTTGCAGTTTCTTTAAAAAGATGAATGTTTGGGAAATTTATCATTTCAAAAAGACTTTTTCCGTTGCATAGTTAGGATTTGTAGTGAAATGGCAATTCTTCTGGACTGGGTGGAGAATTACTCCATGACCCCTTGTCTGCTGTAGAACAGGCAATCTTAATTATAGAATTTCCTCACTATTGAATTCTTGTAATATAAATCTGCCTTTTGCCTTGCTTTTTTTTAAATCCAGACTAGAATGATCTGAATAGTGCTGTGAATAGCAGCCTTTAAATATGAATAGGAAGAAGAAAAGAAAAAATGCATTATCTGTGAAAACAAACCACTCACAAATCTGTGAGTTACTGAAGAGTAACATTTGTATGGAATTCATGGGAAAGTTTACTGTAATTCACAGTAATCTATTCCCACATATTTTAATATTTCCCTTGATTTCAGTTCTATACCACCTCTGTCTCAGGGGCTGTGCAAGGACTTGCCTTAAATGCTGGTGTGTTTAAAGGGTTGTCATTGTATATGTGAAAAGATTTGAAGTGGAAGCAAATATT